TATTAAACTCTTGCTCATCCTTAAAATGTTTTAATATCAGCAGTTTCATACTTTTTCTACCTAAATATCTTTATGTCATTCCCTTTACTATACCTTGACTTTCAGCTGTTTATGTCCAGCTTCCCTCTCCGCTACAAAGTGGGAGTGGCCAGTCTCTAGGACCCACGGTTCTCTGACTGAGGCATGGAAGATGCTAGTTTCAGTACAGATTCATGGGCCTCATTTCCAACTCTGGGTGTAGAATCTAGCCATCTGCATTTAACAAGCTCCCCAACAGATTCAAGCACTCAGGGGACCACATATTGAGAACCTCTAGTTAGGGCTGAAGTGCTCAGCCAAGGGGAAGTGCTTGTTAAAAATCATAGATATCCAACTAACTGTGTCTTGCAGTATTCTTTCTTTTTTTAATTGAATTATTGTTGATATACAATCTTATATTGGTTTCAAATGTACAACACAGTTGTTCACCACTTACCTGTATTATTAAATCCTCACCCCCATTAGTGTGGTTACTATCTTTCAACGTAGAAAGACCTTACAGAATCATTGACTACATTCTTCATGCTGTTGTACTATCTCCATGACCGACTTATAGACTTATATTATGATTGAGAATTTTTGTGCCCCTTTATCCTGCAGTATTCTTTCTAATTCAGTACCTCAACCTTGGCTATGCATTAGAATCTCTTGGCGAAGTTTAAAAAATCCACATGCCCAGGACCACACACCAGAACAATTAAAACCGGATGTCTGGGGAGGAGAACTCAGGGTATCAAAATTTCTAAAAACTCCCAGCAATCCCACTGTGCAACCATGGTTGGGAAACACAGTGGAAACAGAAAAGGCAGTGGCCTGGTTAGGATTTAGTCTAAAATAGTGAGAAGACAGAGAGAAGCAGCCAGCGTGGTACTTAACTGCCTGGTCCTTGCTAGGCTTCTAATCCTGGCAGTAGAGATGAAATAGGAAGAGTGATGGTTACAGCTCAAGCCCTGGCGCATCACCACAGCCCTGACATGCTAGTCATTTGCTCCCCTAGAATGTGAACTCTGTGAGGGCAGGGGCTGTCTATCTTGTTCCCTGCTGTATCCCCAGCACCCAGTGCCAAGTGACATCAACTAAAGAATGAGTCCCATTTAGGACTAGGGCACCGATGAAAACAACAGAGGCCCTTCATTATTGCACTACTGCTCTTCCTTCTATTCTGCCCAGAGTGGTTTGCCTACTGTTCCTCTACTTTTTCATTCGGCCAGTGTCCACAGCATCCTTCAAAGTACTCCATTATAAAACCCTTTCAAGGCAGTTAGCAGGATAAGAGCATTCACTCATTTACCAAATATTTATTGGTGAATAAGAGCTAGACCCTGGAGAAACAGCATTCTAGTAGGGAACACATGCAATATACAAATGAACACACTAATAAATATATAACTATAAATCATGAGGAGTTCCATGAAAGAAAAAGAACGTGATGTGTGAGAAGAATGAGTAAGAGGAGAATCTAACAGACTGGAGAACCAGGGAAGGAAGCCGCACTCTGAGGAAGTAGCATTCCAGCACTTGCTTAGGAAGCGTGAGAGTTAGTCAGTTGAAGACGGACAGAGAAGAGTTTTCTAGGCAGCAGAAATAGCCTGTGAGAGTGTCCAGAGTCAGGAGAGAACTTGGTGTTCTTGAACTGAAAGAAGGCCAGAGTAGCAAGAACACAGTAGTTAAGGGGCAGAGTGGCTGATGAGAGGGGGCAGGGCGGTTCGTGCAGGGCTTTGTTGTAGGAGAGAGGACAGGGCTTGGATTTCTTCCTGAGTGTGGTGGAAGACACTGGAAGATGTGAGTGGGAGAATGGCATGATCGATGCAGCTGCTGTGTAGACAAAGAATTGTAGCAGAGCCATGGGAGGCTCCTCAGGTGCTCTGGGTGGAGTAGTGGAGGTGAGGAGAAGTACAGGATATGGGATGCTTTGCTGGGAAAGCAAGTTTTTTCCCCATCCTGATTTCTCATGAGAAATCATATGAAGTGCCATGCTGGGATGCAGGGACAATGCATGTAAGGCTAGAAAGACTGGGAGGCGGAATTGTCTCATGTGCTCAAGAACAGAGCACAGGGGGTGACAGCCTTGCTTCAACCATTTCAGTGGGAAAGAAATAAGCATCTTAGGTGAAATCAGTGACAGATTCTTTCAAAGAATGGTCGATGCATTGACTGGTTAACTTATTTTTATTTTTTGGTTGAGGTACCATTTAATACAGATAGAGTCACAAATCTTGAATGCACGGTTTTATGACTTTTGAAAAACATATACATCCATGTGACTGTTACCAGTATAACACCAGAGAGTCTCCTTGTGCTTCCTTCCAGTCAATCCTTACCCCCCAATAGGTACCACTGTTCTGAATTACATCACCATCAGTTATTTTTGCCTGTTCTTCACCTTTATATAAATGGAATCATACTGTTTATATCCTTTTGTGTCTGGCTTTTTTCATTCACATAATATTGTTAGGCTCACCCAATGTCATGTGTATCTGCAGCCCATTCCTTTCTGTTGCTGAACAGCATTCTGTTGTCTGAATACACCACAATTTGTTTATCCAGCCTGCATTAGTGGCCCTGTGAATAGTGGACCATTGGTTAACTTGCAGTCTGGCTCACTTTTTCACCTCATCATTTTCTACCTCAGATTTTCACCCACTCTTATATAACTGCCCTTCTATTCATCAGTTCCTTTCTGAAAAATCTTTGAACCTTTTCTATGAGAATACTCATCTATTTTTCTCCAAAACAGTTCCAGGTATACATTCATGGTCTCATTCCAGTTGTGTCTATCCCTAGAAAACAGATGATAAAAGTCATTTAGATTCTTATTTAGAATGTGTCTTCTTCCAGAGAGATTCATAGTTGTGATAGTAATCTAGGTGGCGCTGTGTCCCATTTCCCATTTTAATTTCATATCAAGTATAGGTGTTTCTCAAAACCAGTTAAATGAACTTTCATAAACCTTATATTTTCCGAAACAAAACAATACTCAGAGAAGTGGCATCGTTTCCACATTTTTGAAAATCTCTTTAATGTCTGCTATGATAAAAGAGAGCCAGATTCCCATATCTGCTTCTCTGTTGCCATATGTTGTTTTGGCTACATCATGTAAAAGAATCCAGACTCATATAGATATGTGGTTGGAAAAAAGAGCATTTTAATAACTTTTTCAGATAATTATGGATAATCTCCTTTGCTACTACACCACATGCCTGTATTCTGATAGCTTTGGGAACTTCGGAAGATCAGATTTGTGGGGTTGGAGTCATCCAGCTGTGAAGGTGTTGAAGGAACGATGCACTTGCCTGGAGATGCTGGGTCAGGCTTCAGCCAGGGCAGGGTTTCTCAGCCTCAGCTCTAGTGACATTTTGCTCTGGGTCATTCTTTGCTGTGTGTTGGGGGTGGGGATATACTTTGTAATACGGGTGTTTAGCAGCATCCCTGGCCTCTACCTACTACATGTCAGTAGCACCTCCCCCACCATTGTGACAACCAAAGATGTTGCCTAACTTTGCCACATATTGCCTGGTGGGACAAAGTCACCCCAAATTAAGAACTGCTGAACAGGCACCCAAGAAAGACCTTTTGGTAGACTGAGGAATTCAAGATGGACATAGTGTCAAGGATGATTTTGTAGATAACTTTACTTAAATTTCTGTTGGAAGTACAAGTGACAGCAACAACGATAACAGCTATCATTTATTAAGTGCTGTCAGGTACTTTGCAAACATTAATTTAATCTTCACAGAACACTGTGAGATAGATATTAATATTCTCTTTTTACAGATGAGAAAATCAAAATGCAGAGAAATTAAGTCACACGTCCAAGAGAGGGACAGAGCTGGGATTAGTATCTGCATCTAATTGACTACTAAATTTATGCTCTGAGCCATCACGGTACTAGTTTTGTTAGAAATTTAGTTTCTTCTTTGGGATGTTAATATCTGGCATACATTGTATAATCCTGTCCGATGACCTTCTTGGGATAAAGGAGTCATGCATGATTTTAGATGAGAAGTAGAATAGGGGAGTGACTTCTTGACCTAGTACCTGGAATAGCTTTGGGGTAAACTTAATTGAAGCATTTCTTTGATGGCCTGCAGAGACTTCTGAGGTAAGATCAAAGAAATATATGTATAAGGCCTTGTGGGACCAAATTAGCCATCTCATTGGTTCTAGAAGCCATGGAAATAATTAATCAAGCCATCTTGTGAAGGTGCTGGCAAGATTTTTCTGGCACCTCTGGTCATGTCCCCCAAGGGGGAACAATACCACCTCTGACTGACCCCAGGCCTGGCTGTTAAGCTCTTTGCTTTAGTCAAGGAGAAAAATGTTTGGGGGAATGTAAACCATGCACTCTAACCTCGAGAGCAGTGTTCTGCCTATCACAGCCCTTTAGGGTCATGAAATCAATTTAATGAATCATGAGCAACATTTCAAAACCAAGAAGACCAGAGTAGAAAGCATCACAGGGCCTCATACATTATAAGCGAGAGTGTCTATAGAATTTGTAGGGCCCAGTGCAAAATGGAAATGTGAGCCTCCTTGATCAAGAAGCAGAAAAAAAGTGTTGGTAAAGGCATTCAATTACAAAGCTTTTTCCTTTCTTCTGCAGTCTGTGTCTTGACTTGGCATAGTGTTTTTTATTTGCCATTTATCTATTTGTTATCATCTTAAGTAAAAAAATAAATAAAATTTTAAATTATCAACATGAATTCTACCACACATCTTTATGTTCTGCAATACCTGTTTAAAATGCAAATGTAAGAGCATTTAACATACATATGGAGTCACCAAAGTTGCATAATTCATATTTTGTAGTTCATGCATGCATATATCCTATGTATTAAGTTCTTCCCAGAACAGTGGACAATCTGCACAAAATGAATTCAACTGTTTTTATTTCTTTTTACAATTTTTTATTTTGTTCTTAAAATTGTTGCTGTGGTTTTGACATATTATATTTGTTTCAGGTGTATGACACACGATTCAGTGTTCTCATCACAAGAGAAGAATTTTATTTCATTTCTGGATATACATGCATTCTACCAACAGTCTCCACCTTCAGCTTACTGAGGAGTTAGGAAGGATGGAAAGAAAAAGGTTGGCTTTGCTTTCCCTTCCCCTCCAGCTCATCATTTTCAGCATAAGGATATGACAGGATTCCTTGGTCCTCACGTTTCTCAGAACTCTATTGCATTCTTTCTGCACTGGAAATGAGTTCTGGTGCAAAAGGCAAGTGTGGCCTCTTTGGTTTGTTACCACCGCTGCTCCACCTCCCCAGACCCACCTCACTCACTTGTAGATGCAGAACTGAGCTTGTTCTGGCTTTGAGTCCTGCTGACCTCCCACGCCCTCTGGGTCCCCTGGAGTTCTGTGCTCATGGGGCATCATAGACATTATATGCAAATGGGACAGCAAGAAATGGCAGCAGGCACACATACTGCCCAGATCTTGTCTGCTCACAGGCATGCTCCACTGTTCCATCGGACTTCACTTGCAAAACCCAAGTTCAAAAATAAGATTACTCAGAATTTCAAAACAGTGACAGCAGAGCATTAAACCAAGTGCAGGGCCCTTCTGAGCACAGAGCCCTGTACCCCTACTCAGGCACCTAGGAAGCCAGCCCTGATTATAAAGCAGTGCTTGTGACCATTTTATCTCAGATGTGTGTGTATGTGGGTTGTATGGGCTGGGATTATCACTGAACTGTGAAAGCCCCTGTTTTTCCCCTCCCCCTCCCCTACTCAGGGTTGGAGCTTTTTCTGGGAAGAGTGCAGTGATTTTAGTTGGAACAGGACTGGGACCAGCTCTTGAGTGGAATGCAAGTGCTCTCTGTGTTCTCCCTTAACCGCTGCATCTCCGGTGGCTGTTACGACAAGACAGACCAGGTCACCTCCTGTTACAAGCAGGCACCCTTGACCTTACCCAAAAAAGGAAACCCATTTTCCTCATTAAAATCAATACTAATCAGAAAGAGTTGGGATGGTAGGGCCCTGGTGTAGCTCATTATATCCAAACAAGGGTCAAGCATTTGGAGAGTATTTCTAAGGAAATGCCTCTGTCCATATTGTTATCATAAGTACATACTAGAAGATATGAGAAATGATGGTGGTAAGCACCCAAGGATCTCAAAGCTCTTGTTATCTTGAGTTTGCAGAGTACGAGCACCATAGCGTGTCAGACTCTGGAAATCATCCCATCCAACTCCTTCATTTTGAAGACACGAAAACAGATCCAGAAAATGACGGAAATGGCTTGAAAGTCACCTGTATTATCAGGGGCAGATCTGGTGCTAGAAGGTCAGGTTACCTGACTCTGAGGCCAGTGCTTTCAGCTCTGCCAAACTGAAGGCAAACTGGGAATTGCTGCCCTTCAGAATAATGGTAGGTTCTGATGAGCAGCAGTGGGAATGGTGGCGGAGCCAAGGGCACGGGTAAGTTGGTGGGGCACTTGGGAAAAGGAAAATTCATTCGTTTATTCATTCAGTTCCACAAATATTTACTATTGGCCTGGCTTGTGCAAGCAATATACTGTCCACTATGGTGGATTCTGACCTTCATGGGGCTGACGTTTGATTAGGGAGGTCATAAAAAAAGCTCCTTTGTAAGAAAATTTCAGTGCCTTGAAAGCAGTATAGACACAACCATGCAGGAGTTTAAGGGAAAGACAGTTTAATGCTTTCGGATAGGGATCTGGGGGTAGGATTATGGAGGAAAGACAGGTGAATTTGGTTTGGAAAGACAACTCATTTAGGGTTTGCTGAAATGGTGATGAGGCAGAAAATTCAATCCTCGATCTGGCTGAAGATCCAAAGCCTGAACTCTTAAACATTACGCCTGTATAAGCCCTTTGACTAGGTTGGGATTTAGGTTTGGGAAATAGCATAGGGCCTTGAATGCCAGGCTAGATGATTTGAATTTCTTCTGTAGGCAACTGGTAGCCATGGAAGGTCTCAGAATATGATCTGATGAGAACTGTGCTCTTGTCCCCAAAGCCCTCAGCACTTAGAACATTAGGCCCTGAGAGCAGATCAAAGATGACAGTGCAAAGGCCTGGGTTCCATCAGAAGCTCTGATGGCTGGTAATTATTCTGCAGCTTTCATTGCTCAGAGTTTTTTTGCTGAGCGCCACTCTGTTACACTTGGCTGGTCAAGTTAAGAGCTGTCAAATCTATGCCCTGAGCTAGAGGGTAAAGCAGGATTTTCTCAGAAGTCAGCTTTTATTCAAAGAATTTTATTATAGGGTCTCTTTTTTTGGAGGAAGGTTTCACGTTGTTTTTTAACTTAGAAAAAATTTAATGTCATTTCCAGATTCCCAGATTTTCTGACATTACAGCACTATGCAAGGATAGAAAGTGAAAGTGTCCCATAGGCCCAGCCCCATAGAGGTAACTACTGTTCCTCCAAACATTTTATTTCGCATATTTTTTAAACAAACTATTCACGCTATTTTTTAACTTTCCTTCTTCACTGACTGTTACAGCAGGGAAATATTTCCATATCAGTACATGTAGCTCCATCTAATTTTTAAAAAATCACATAGCAATACATATTTTCTCACTTCCTGTATGACTGGACATTGGGGTTGTTTCCACTTTTTTCATTGTTCATTTCATTATGAACAATGCTAAAATAAATATCCTTGGACATACATTTTTGAACATCTGTGACAACATTTCCTTAAGATAGATTTGCAGCACTAGAAATGTTGGATCATAAGGTCTAAAAAGTTCTCCTTTAATGTATACGATCAAATTGCCCCTTGAAAATGTTACACCAATTTTTACTTTCAGCAAAAGCGTGCTGGCTTGTGTACATCCTCTTCAATACTATCAAACTTTTCAACCTTCCCTCTTATGGGAGACAAAAAAAGGATATCTTATTTTTTAATAGTCAATATATGTTAAACATCCAGATTTAGGATGAATTAAGAAGCTTGTGTTAACCAGCCTCTATCATTCTTCCATATAACCTGCAAATACCTTCAAAAGGTTCTCAGGGCCATTTCTTGGGGCCTGGCATGCTAAATGCCCGCTCCGGGAACACACACCAAGGCGTGTCTGCTATATGTTATTTTGCAGCATTTGTATATAGGAAATACAGATAGATATGGATAGTAGGTGTGATTCAGGTTGCGCGCTAGCCTGATCTAAGGAAATACCTGAATAGCTGAATCGCCCATCAAAAGACACAGATGAAGTGAAATTTTATCAGGTTACAAAGACCTGGAGAGTGTAGTGGATCTGTCCTGGATCTGCCTCTCAGTGTTTGCCTTGTTTCATTCACACCGTGGACAAGTCACATTTTCCAATACTGTGGCTCATGCAGCATGAGCACTTTGCCAGATGACTTAGCATTGTTGGGTCAGACCCAAGAATGTATGATGGCATAATTTCCAGTCAGGAGAAGCAACAACTGTAATAAAACCATCTAAAACCAAACATTTAAGGAGTTTTTTCTCTGAACACAACCGACAGACCAACTTAGCACACAGCAATCGTAAGTAATATCTGCTTAAGAGAAGTCTAGCAATCACCTGGCTGGTATTAGTCGAAGTGGTTCTTTTCCAGGCTCACTGGGGTATTATTCCACTTCCACATGCTTCTTTGCTGTTGGAGGGGCCATGTGATCCATTCTGGCCAATGAATTGTGAGATGAAGTGATGTATGTCATGACTAGGGCCTTTAATTGCCTCTGTGAGACTCTCCACTTTCTCTTCCCCTCCTGTAATGATTGTGGAAGCACATGTAGAGATGCAGGTGCCACAAAACCATAGAAGCTGGGATTGCTGGGTCACCACATGGAAGAAAGCTGCCCAGAGTGTCCCCTGGACTTGCAATGGACTTTGTAAAAGCGAGATACTAAATTCCGTTGCTGTCAGCCACGGAGATTTTGGTGTTGTTTCTTACCACGGCATGATTAATGCAGCTTCCCTTGGCCAGAATGAATCTGTTAAATGGCCTAGCAGATGAGAAGGCAGAATGGTCAACTAAGGATGAATTCCTGAGTGCTCCCTACGTGCCCAGGAGAGTGCTAGCTGCATGCACAATGCAAAGACATCTGAAAAATACTCAAACTCTCTCTGCGTCTGTTCTCTGCTTTGATTCTCTGCTCCCCAAATGGGAAGAGCTCAATGCTTCCTCTCATGTGCCCTCAGAACATGTTCACCTCCAGCTGTGAGCCCTTCAGCCAGGCTGAACCACTGGCAGTTCTGCAAGCAGGTCAGGATCTCTCTCCAGGCCTTTGTCAACGCTGCTCTTTCTATTGGCAATGTCACTTCCACTCTCCAGCTCCTTGCCTGGCTGGCTCTTATTCATCCTATTTTCTCAGGATTATGACACCACATCTTGAATCCTTCTCTGCCCCCCCAAATCCGGGTTAGGTGTCTCTTCTCTGGACTCTGGCAGCTCCCTGAGCCTCCTCTGTCCCAGCACTTACCATGCTGCAGTACAATTGCCTTTTCGGCTGTTTGTCACCTCTACCAGAGGCTGGGGACTGTCTTGCTCACTTTTGGGATCTAGCGCCTCATCAAGATCCTCTCACAGAGGAGGCCTACAATACATTTTTGAATGAAATGAATATGGTATCTTGTTGTAATATGACAATCTGTGAATTAATGAGCATCCTGGGTTCATTGGGTGCTGATGAGACAGGCTTGACCAGAGGAGAAGAGGTAGGTTAGGAATTGTGGGAAATAAGGGTGGATGGGGGCTGGGATGAGGCCTGATGGGGGACAGTCTTGACAGACTAACAGATAAATTTAGACTTTCTGCCATTGGAAATCCGGCCCAGAGGAGTGAGTGTCATGTGTGATGTTTAAGGACCATTACTCTGGTATCCGGTGTGTGAGATGGACGTAACGTGAGAGTCACTGTGGTTAGTCAGGCTCGCTAGTGATCACTCAGGCAGGAGAAAATGAGAGCCGGGGCTAGAGTGGAGGGCGTGGGACTGGAAACAACATTGTAAATCATTAGCAACAAGAGCCTAGGAAAATCACCACACAATGCCTTTTGTGATCATTGCAGTCTGTTTTTCAAATCCAGTTAAAATCAAGTTAAAATGCACGTCAAGATAGTTTTAAATGGCAAAGGACCCACAGAGCAGGACTGAGGGTGACTGGTGGAGTGGCTGGCAGCAAAGCTTGTCCTTCATTTTGCAGTCTCACCTTATGAGCCTCAGGTAATTTTTGTTTTTCTATGTCAGGAACTTATTCCCTCTCCCAGCGTACCCCTTACACAAGTTCCAACAGGTGGGGCTCTCGACACCATCTCCCCAGTCGGCATTAAAGTAGGAATGAGTCTATTGACAACACAGGTTTTGTGTGTGTGTGTGTGTGTGTGTGTGTGTGTGTAACAGCAGTTGTACAGCAAAAGCATCTAGAAATGCAAACCTGTTATAAGTGGGGTCCTTCATTTGATAGGTATCTTGAGCTGAATTGTTGCTTAGTACACACACACACACACACACACACACACACACACACATGCACCCTAAATAGGAACAGTGGATGAACTGAATGAGTTAGCCCAAATCAGGGAACTTTGTAGAAATTGAAGAATTCTGGTTTCTCAGTATAAATTAATGATAGGGAGTCCAAGAGCAATGACATTCAAA